CAACACCGAAATCACAATCCACCACAACTACTTTGACCAGACCAAGCAACGCAACCCCTCGGTCGACAACGTCAAACACGCCCACCTCTACAACAACTACCTCGTCGGCCAGACCTCGTACGGCCACTACGCCCGCGGCAAGACCGAGATGCGCATGGAGAACTGCTACTTCGAGAAAGTCAAGAACCCGATCCAGCTCGACGCCACCGCCAAGCTCAGCGCCACGGGCAACGTCTTCGAGGGCACCACGGGCACCACGGCCAAGAACGCCGGCACCGTCTTCGATCCCAAGACGTTTTACGAGTATACCCTCGACGCCGCGGCTGATGTGCCGAGCGTTGTTGCAAAGGGGGCTGGGCGCCAGGCTAGCATTTGCGCTGCGTGAGCTTAGGAGGCGGGTCAGATCTTGGGCGTGATGTTTTAGCTCCTGGTCACCTGATTGCTCGAGTGCGTAATCAGAGAAGGAGAGAGAGTAGTAAACAGAAGAAGAAGAGGACGAAGGAGAGCAAGGGGGTTGTAAATTCTACGTATTTATTATGATGGCATGTTGCCGTTGACGAAGCATATACTCTGTAGATTTGTTCATATTGACTACGAGCATCCACAATCAGACACCTCATCTTTGGTGACGAGTGCTTGTGAAGTACATTTGCGTGGCTCATATCCATGTTTGTGTCATCCAACGGATTGAGTGGTGGTGGTTGGCATACGGCGATGTCATCCTGGAACGTCATTCTCCGCTGTGCCTTGGCTGAAAGGGCGAGTGGGTTTACTTGAGAACCATCATCTTCTCCAACTACCCTCAAAGACATGCAACACTTATGCAATGATATTCAGTCAAACACTGATATTCAGTCAAACACTGGTATTCCCCTCTTCCCATCTTCAGCAAGAGATGTAACATCCAAGAACGTCGACCTGCTCAGGAAATAGCCCAATAGACGAGACCTCGCACATCTATGCCAACCACTGCAGCTCCTTCCTATTTCTCACCCTCCTTTCCCGACTCATTTGTATGCCAAAAGCATCAAACTCGATAGTGGAATACCGGAAGGCCTCATGTAGGCAAGGGTGGTCGACGTTAGTGGAACATGAATCATTCCTTTTCCAGTACTCCCATCGAAAAGGCCCACAACGCCAAACGTGACGCCCTTAAGTGACGATACGGCAAAATGGACGGCGCAAAAGTCCAAAAACGCTGCGAGATCTCCAATCAAGCGTATATCAAAACCCGAATGAACCCTCTATTCGAATTCCCCATCGCGTAAAAACAAGCTTCTCGCTTCATTCCGGGTTCTGAAAGGGGTAACCAGTTCAGTCAAGCCATACGAAAGGAGAAGGGTGACCAAGAGCACCTTTTTCGTCTGGGAACCAATCATCGAGGTCGACCTGTCCGTTATAAGTAGGTGGTAGTTCACCGCAGGAAAAAAAGGGTTCGGTGGCAACGGGATTGTGCGTGCTGATCGTCGCGCCCTTGCAGATTGGGACGGGACACTAGACCACACCCCCGGGAACTCCCCTCATTCATTCTACAGAGGTCTTTACCCGTATGAAGCAGAGATGTTTGACGACAAGATGTCGGTCGACTTTACATTGTCCATTCGCGCACTCAGGCTGATGGCTTGGGATTAGTCATGGATTCCGATTGTGGGATTCTGGAAACCCATATACGGCGCGGCATCTGCGGTTGACGGATGCTCTCGAGGCGGTCGGTTTTATGTGGGGGATCCTGCGGATTCCACTCCGACGACACCCTACTACCGGGTAACGTCCGAGTATTCGCACAGCTAAGTTACCTTAGTTTGTGGACGACCTCGATGCATGAAAATTCCGATCGTACGTTCAGCATCGAAATCGGATAATTGGATCAAAGCGTTGCTCGGTCACCTGGTTCTCCTTGTCTTCGCGCAAGTTCAACAAAAAAACTCTTTATGCACGATGGTGGATTTGTGGATGTGGTATCGGATCATTTCGGTACGAACAACCGAAGGAGTCACGATGCGTGTTTCCAATGTCATAGCGAACGACCAAATATCGAGGGGAACGAGAGATAGAGGTGATAATGTTCATAGTCATGATATCATTTGGTATAATGCCTGATAGCTAACTCTCAAAAATAAACAAAGAAATGCTTTTCTAGATCATTTCCTCCACATAAAACGCTTTCTTTTGTAGTTCTGACAAGATTTTTGGTTTTTTTTACAGACGAGCAGTCTCCTGAGCCTCCTCGATGATCATCTCGGCACACTTCTCGGCGCAACCAAGGACAGTCAACATGGGGTTGATGGTGGGGATGGTGGGGAAGATGCCAGCGTCGCAGATACGGACCCGCTTGAGGCCCTTAATGTTGAGGCGCTCGTCGACAACGGCGAGCGGGTCCTTGCGGACGTCACCCATCTTTGTGGTTCCGACAGGGTGGTAGACAGTGTGGGCAGCACGGCGAGCGTACAAGCTGAGCTCCTCATCGGTCTGGACCTTGGGGCCGGGAGCGACCTCACGGGCGATCCAGTCCTTGAAGGGAGCCTGCTCAGCGACCTTGCGGGCAGCGCGCATGCCGTAGACGAGGGTAGCGGCGTCGTAACCCTCCTCATCGGTGAAGTAGCGGAAGTCAAGAGCAGGCTTGACGTTGGGGTCGGCCGAGGTCAGGTAGAGGCGACCGCGGGAGCGGGGACGGGGAATATTGGGGGTCATGCAGAAGGCGTAGCCCTCCTTGGGCTCATCGTAGCCAAGGCGTCCCGTGTTGAGGGTGAAGGGGATCTGGTAGCAGTGCATCATGACGTCGGCAATGTTGCCGTCGGGGATGCCGTCGGGGTTGAAAAAGGTCTTCTTGGCGCCGGCGTTGGGGGCCTCGCGACGGAGGAAGATACCAGCATCGGAGTCCATGGTGGTCTTGTTTGGGGGAACGGGCTTCTTAAGCTCCCACATGATGATGGACTCGGGGTGGTCCTGAAGGTTCTCACCGACACCAGGCAGGTCGTGGATGACGGGAATGCCGAGGTCGCTGAGCTGCTGCTTAGGACCAACACCGGACAGCATCATTAGACGAGGGGTATCGACGGCGCCGGCGGCGAGGATGGTCTCCTTCTTGGAGGTTATGGTGCGCTTGGAGCCATCCTGGAGGGTCAGGTTGACACCAGTGACGGTGTCGCCCTTGATGTTGAGCTTGGAAACCCAGGCGTTGGTAAGAACGGTGAGGTTGGGGCGCTTCTCGTCGCCGCGGAGGAAAGGGTGAATGTAGGCGACCGAGGCGCTAGACCGGCGGCCATCATCGGGGTTGTAGGAGATGGAGAAGAAACCAACACCCTGCTGCAGGGCGCCGTCCTGAGCAATGTGCTTGTTGAAGTTGTGGAGGACGGGGATGTTAAGGGCGGAGGAGCAGGAGTTGACCCAGTCAAGGCAAAGCTCGTTCTGGTGGCGGGCGTGGACGGGCTGGACGGTGTTGCGCAGCTTGTCCATGAGACGCATGAAGTCGTGGAAAGTCCATCCCTTGGCACCCATAGACTGCCAGATCTTCAGGTCGTACTCAAAGGGTCTGAAGGAGATGAGGGTGTTGTGTGATGAGCAACCACCGAGCACCTTGGCGCGAGAGTGGCGGATGTGAGAGTTGCCTGTGAGGCGCAATCATGTCAGTGAGCTGTCCCAGGAGGTAGGATGAGCTGTTGGAAACAGAAGAGGCTTACCCATGGGCTGCTCAGTGGTGCCGTAGTCGTAGTCGAGCTCACCGCCGAGAAGGTTGAGCCACTTGCGCAGGTCGAGCACGCGGTCGTCCATGAAGTCGCTGGGGCCAGCCTCAATCAAGAGGATGCGCTTCTGGGGGAGGGACTCGGCCAGGCGAGAGGCGATAACGCAGCCGGCGGTACCACCACCAACGATGACATAGTCGTAGCGGTCGACGTCGGAGACGGGGAGCTGAGTGGTGGACATTTTGGCGGATATGGAGGATGAGGGTATTCAAACAGCAAGATTCTCGGGGCACCCGGCCAATCAAGAGGATGAGGGGTAGCTTTTTCTACTTGTACACACGGGGGAATGTATGTACAGAGGGGTAATACAGCCAAGAAACGCGCGGGCGATCTTGGTATGAGATTGGGGTAGATCTTGGGATGATAAGAGGAGAAGAATGGCACACGGAGAGGAATGAGGATGGAGAGGAAAGAAGAAAAGGCAAAGGAGATTCAGAAGCTATCGATATGAGTGGAAATTCGGCCGCATTATCAATGATCAATGATCAATGGCAAGTCGGCAGGTCGGAGTAGGATACCGTGGAGACACGAGGAGGGTAGGACCCATCCACATCCTTGGCCCTTCCTCGGAGACACAGAAGCAGCCCAGACAGACGGGGAGACTCGAGAAAGAAAGCTTGCCTCGTTTCCCTCACTCGGCCGCCGCTTGAGGAAAAAAATTGTTCTCGCGTGGAAGGTACCGACCGACTTTCAATCGCACCAGGCCAGCGCCGGCGCCAGCAACGACGGCAGGCGGGCAAGGCGCAGGGCGGTGGAGACGGACCCCGCGAAAGTGGGTGGTGGGGCCCATGAAGGAAAGCGGGTTTCGAGGGCATTGAGAATGACTCGCCGGGTTTCTGCACGAGTCTCTCCTCCTCAAGTTTCTGTGATCCTTCCATTCTCTCGGTGTTTCTGCCTGCCACCTGCTTCTGCCGTTTTCACCAACTGGCAGGTGGGGTTCACCGTGGGTGCGGCACCACAGATCCGGGCGTGGGAGCGCGAGACCGCGCGGGATCCGACGTCTCATTGGACAATTGACCTTTTTTCTGCCGGTCTTATCCTCTCTTTTCTTTCCATGTACATTGTGTCATGTACTTTTCTCACCAGCCCTCTATCTATTTTTTACTCAATTGCCCCCCCGCCTAAAACGTCCTCATCCTTGCTTTCGTCAGCAAGCAGGGCCGGATTTTCTAAATTCCAAGGTTCCTCACTGGCCCGACAGTCCCAAAACAGACTAAACGACCCCGAGCTAACGTCTCCTGGTCCCCAACAGCCAACATGGTCAGCAACATGCAAGACGCAGGCGGCAGGCCCCCAATCAGGGATGTTGCTCAAGACGTGCTTCTGGTAAGGTACGAGGTACCGCCAAAAAGCTGGCAGCACCTAGCCTCGGGCAAGCTCAAGGTTCTTTCCTTCGTCGCCGCCCAGGAAGAGAAGGGGGAGACCGCGCTTTCCCACGCACGCCAAGTCCTTCTTGCCCTTCTCGAATGTCCACTCTGGTGGAAACTGCCCGACGTCGTTGAAAAAGAATTACGAATAATGGCCAGAGGCAGTCAAGTGCCGCAATGCTCTTGTATGGCACGGGCCAATCGTGACGATTCGACTCTGCCTGCTTCACCCGGCCAATACTCCTCGATCCGTCTATTGCGGAATGTCCCACCAGCATAGCTTCAAGCATCTAATTTCACCTGCATTCATTCGACTCCTCTTTATCCAACGTCGTGATCTCGAGGCATGTTGAACCGTCCTTTTCTGCTTGGTACCAGAGTGGGCGCCATCGACCAACAACGCAACAGACTAATTCCGCCCGTTTGCGGCTTGCCACGGAAATCCCACGCGCTGGTGGTGTGTTTGGCAAGGGGGCCTGACTGCGTACATGAACGACCAGTCACACCTACAATCTGGTATCCCAGGCAATTGAGACAAACCAATATGCTGCATATGCAAGAATTGCACCCGACATTCCCCAAACTGCCATGCCGCCTTTATCCAGCGCTAAAATTCGGATTGTATCCGTCGATAACAGACAGCCCTGTCTCGGTGACACGGCGTTGGAGTCCGTTGGACTACAACCTCGTCTCGAGTCTCGCCCGGCCGCCTTTGCCTGTCTGACCTATCGCCTCGTCCGCGCGGCTGAGGTGGCAGAAGATGAGTGGTTGACCATTACTTGACTACACACCACCAACAAAGTCACAACCGTCGGCGTCATCCGGGGTTCCCGCCGACTTGTCTAGCCCTGGTTGGGTGTGCCAAGGCAACCTTGACCTTGGTCCTGACTCTCTGTCGGCCAGCTTCCAGGTACTCTCCAGGAATTACCCTTTGGTACCCCGTATTCCACTATCAAAAGGGCCTTGTCTGATGTCAAATGCAAACTCTCCTACCCGTTGCATCCAAGATGATCTGACGAACTCGTCATTATCGCCGACGATTCAGAGAATCGAACCTAGCCTTTAAAGGCTGAGGAGGCAAGGTGTGAGACGCACACACACCGAGATAGACCAAGCGGCTCATGGTCCAATCTAGACTCTTTCGGCGATCTCTGTATATCTGAGATATCTATCTGTCTCGCATCGCCCGTATCTATGTAGGTAGTCTATCTTTTCCGCTATGCCCGCCGTATCTTTTTCCCGATTGTGGCTCGCCCACCCGGCTGGGTAGCCAATGAGATGCAGTCAATTCGTCGCTGAAGTCCCCTACCGTACTGCGGTTGCGCGGGTGATCGTTCGATTTTGACGGCCGGGCCCGGGATAAGAACGGATCTGACGGCCCTACAGAATCCAGCCACATTGTTGGATGTGATCTGTCAAAGCTTAGAGCGTCTGCATATCGCATCAGCAAACAAAGACAGGGTGGTGAGAGATGCAAGATAAAAAATTTCCAATCTCCAAATGTGGAGGGACCCTGAAGGCTGAAACTTCTTTAGTGGAGGCGACTCTTTTTTTTTTTCTCTTGGTCGATGCATCTGCACCGCACCAACGCACGCACCGCGGTCCCATCAAGTACGTACTGCCTCACAGCGTCTTGGGACTCTGCAAGGTGAATAGGTGGAGACAAACCTGTTGCATCCGGGTGGAGCGAAGAGCCAATGACGTACGGTCCATGACATCACACCGCCGATGGAGTGGGGCAACATGGGTGTCTCCCGGCAAATCTGCAACACCCCGGCTTGCCAGGCCATTGCCCACTCTGGTCAGCTGAACTCGAGATAAGGTCCCCGGCCTCTCCTCCGTGGTACGATCCCGATCTCCCTCCGATCTCGACGACCGTCGAAAAGAAAAAAAAAATCCTCTAAGCCTGCAACTGCAACTGTACGCTCCGTCCTCCGTGTCGCCGTCCGTCTACCCCGATCGACATCCCATCCCCGGCATCGTCTTGTTGGAATTTTGTATCGCATCCCGTTATACCCCAATTCCCCATCCCCTTACCTTGCAGAAATTCCTTCCCGTTTCTAGTGTATCATTCGTTTTTGCCAGCATAGCTCTTTTTTCCTCCCCCATACCCCTCCCCCAGGAATATAGGAGCCAGCCAACCAAACAAGTCAATTAGAGCCAAAACTAAAAACCGAAGTCTCATTATCAAAAATGGCGCCACAAGAGCAGAAGCAGGAGGCGGATCGTCACACCTTCTATGCGGGGAAGCCCCAGCCGGACACGGAATCCCCAGGCACCTTCCAATCCATCGATCCCGCGACGGCGAAGCCCGTCTGCACCATCCACACCTCCTCCGCCGCGTCCATCAACGCCGCCGTCGACGCCGCGAAGACGGCCTTCCCCTCCTGGTCCGCCACCCCGCCCATTGAGCGCTCCCGCATCCTCCTCCGCGCCGTCGCCCTCCTCCGCGAGCGCAACGACGAGCTGGCCAAGATCGAGACCCTCGACACGGGCAAGGCCTTCTCCGAGACCCAGTACGTCGACGTCGTCACCGGCGCCGACGTCCTCGAGTACTACGCCAACCTCGTCGCCTCGGGCGGCCTCAACGGCGAGTCCTTCCGCCTCAGGCCCTCTGCGTGGTCCTACACCACCAAGGAACCCCTCGGCGTCTGCGCCGGCATCGGCGCCTGGAACTACCCCATCCAGATCGCCCTGTGGAAGTCGGCCCCGTGCCTGGCTGCCGGTAACTGCATGATTTACAAGCCGAGCGAGTTCACCCCCTTGCACGCAGAGTACCTCGCCTCCGTCTACCGCGACGCCGGCGTGCCGGACGGCGTCTTCAACGTCGTCTACGGCGCGGGCGATGTCGGTGCCCAGCTCACGGCGCACCCGGATATCGCCAAGGTCAGCTTCACGGGCCAGGTGAGCACGGGCAAGAAGGTCGCCGGCGCCGCGGCGGGCGGTATGAAGTACGTGACCATGGAGCTCGGCGGCAAGAGCCCCGTCATCGTCCTGCCGGACTGCGACATTGAGCAGGCCGTCGACGGCGCCATGCTCGCGAACTTCTACAGCTCGGGCCAGGTCTGCACCAACGGCACGCGCGTCTTCATCCCCAAGGCCATCAAGGCCGAGTTTGAGAAGCTCGTGCTCGAGAAGATCCAGTACGTCCGCGCGGGCGACCTGTTCGACCCGGCCACCAACTTTGGCCCGCTCAACAGCAAGACGCACCTCGAAAAGGTGCAAGCGTACGTCCGCAAGGGCGTCATGGAGGATAAGGCGACGCTCTTGTGCGGCGGCGCGACGCAGCCCAAGGGTCTGCCGTCGGCGTACAAGTCTGGGTTCTGGATCCAGCCGACCGTGTTTACGGATTGCACCGACGACATGACGATTGTCAAGGAGGAGATTTTCGGTCCCGTGATGAGCATTCTTACCTACGACACCGTCGACGAGGCCGTGCAGCGGGCTAACACAACCGACGTCGGCCTCGCGGCGGGCGTTTTTGGTCGGGACGTCGACCAGTGCCACAGCGTGATTCAGAGGCTCGAGGCTGGTATTACCTGGATCAACACGTGGGGCGAGTCGCCTGCGGAGATGGCGGTCGGCGGGTGGAAGTCGAGCGGTGTTGGTGTGGAGAATGGACGGAAGGGTCTCGAGGCGTGGGTGAGGAACAAGAGCACGCTTGTTGAGATGGGCGGTAGCGTGCCGACTGTCTTTTCCAAGTTGTAAAGAGTTATGAGAATGTACAAGAAAGGGACCAAGGGGGAGGTTGTTGGTGATTCGGACTGAACTCCCTGCATTTATGGTGAAAACAAAAGCTTGTCTTTGGACTGGAGGAGGTTTTGGTTAGATATGAGCGTTTGAATGATATCACGGATTTGACGATGTTCTCTGCCACTGCTTCCCCGTCTTTAGTAGTAAGAGGTTTTCTTTCAAGTGAAGAGAGGTACTCCTAGGATCCAAACGAACTATTCATCAATGTGACCGAACGAAAACTTGAGTCAACTAGTCTGATGTACAGGATTATTATGCTCACTTGCGGAGAGGGGCTGACGAGCAAGGGAGCTAGATGCCCCAGGGACCAAATACCTACTCAATGGAGGATACGCAGGCGGGAAAAGCTTCTGGATGTTCAAGCTCATCTGGGTCATCGACCCTGTGACAGAAGAGCCAGCAAGCAAATGGTGTGCTACCACGGACGAAAGGCTGCTGCCCGAGTAGAAACGATGGTAAGCTGAGGAAGTCAGCAGAATTCCTTTGGGGCGTCATTCATCGCAAACTACCAGGCGTACTAGCAACTGAATAGCGGTCACTAGTACCTCCCCGTCTGCTTAAGTATATTCTCCGGTGTAGAACTCACTACTAGAAATGAGAAGTCTTGAGGATTGTCAGATTGACTCTGAGTTAGACAATCGGCGATTCTGTCGCCTACTTCCAAGTGGAAAGGTTTGCTCTACTTGTGGAAGTGATCTTTTATTATTAAAAGACGCCAAATCTGTAAGAAATTACGTGAGAATTAATATCCACGAATTGGATAGTGTTGAGAAAGAATGCTTCTTGAAATATTTGACAAGATTACCATTGTAACTCGGCTGTGGATCTTCTTCTAGTCCTTTGCCACCTATGTTTGTCTCTTGATTCCTGGCCGCTATAGAATTTTGACCATATGCCACAGCATCAATGTCTTGACCACTCAGTCATATATACTAAGCAGGAAGGGTTCCATTCGGTTCAGCATGTATGTTTTTGATACTAGCAATGATATGAAGGAGCCTGCTGAGTGTCTAGCCTACGTCAGACCCGTGAACACTCCGCTCAGGGCCGAGGACGCCAACACTGCGCTCTGGCGGTCCTACGCGTTAGCCTCCGTCAACAGCCACACAAACGCTAGAGCATTCGTCAAGATCCTCTCCTACTTCTCGCTCGGCGGCAAATGTACTGGAGGCGGCTATATCCTGCTGTCGGCTGAGACGGCGAAACTGGCATTTACGGAGCATGCGATTGAGACGGATGTAGTGACATGCCGGAGCGGGAGACGCGGACTCGGGATACACCTCACCGAACCTGGGTCTGGGGTCTTTGAATGCAAGCTGCCGGCGGGTAATATTGGATGGGATAACGGGTCGGGGCGGTTCGATCATGGTTGTGGATAGCGACAGGAGGCTCACACTTGCGTATGTCACGAACAGAGTGCTAAGTGAAGAACGTCCTTCCCCAGCAGCGTTTTTGAAGGCGGTTTATGAGATATTTGGAATTTCCATAGCTGTCTAAGGCTTTCGATTGGCTTACAGGGCACGGGTAGTTTGATTTAGACGAGGCCTGACCAGTCAATATCACACCTCCTGTGCGAACATAAGACCTGAAACCCATCTTAGTTATCCACTTCCTCACTTCGTCTCCTCAGTCTCTTCCCGAGCCTCAAGAAATGACGTTTTTGCTAGAGCTTTGAACGCATCGATTAGGTAGTCGACGTTTGTCATTTTTGTCTTATCAGTTTGGTCAAACCAGCGTGCCAACGCAAAAACGTTGACCCACCGGACCTCTTTCACGTCATATATGACGTAGCTGTTTGCCCTTAATTAGCTATCCATAAGAGTTGAGATGAAAATTAAGCACTTACTATGCCTCAAATTTGTTTTTCTTGGCATAATTAGCGAGAAGGATGTTCTGATATTCCTGAACCTTTACCCTGCCGATGGTTTTCGCGCTTCTGGAATTGTGTTTAGCTTTGTGCTATGCTTTATACTATTCTATAGCCCATACTCATAGAAAAAGTCGGCGTAAGTGCCGCCCTCTGCGGTTTTTGCGACTTTTGCTATCTGGCGTTAGTATAGAGATTTCAGATAGACAACTTATATTCAAACCTTGGAATAGAATACTGTAACCATTCGTCTGGTGGGGGCCGTTCGTCTGGTGGCTATTGACAGTGACCGCAAAATCACAACCAGTTACGTTTTCATTGTTGCTCCATTCCTGTCAAGCTGTAAGCAATACTGCTGTTATTGTTCCCTGGGCTATCTGTATGAAGACATGCAGTGATAGCTCCTCTTCACCGTTAGTATCACCTATGGGCGGGACCTACTTACAAAGAATGCGTCTTTCCCGTTTCCGCTAGCTACCGTCTGGGCTTGCATTAGAAAGGTATCAGTGAGTCCTATCTCCATCATCGATCGTTCTTGAAAAACTAGACGGAATTGTTGGTAGGCATTCGTAACAGCTTCTGAGCCCGCTGAAAGCAGCATGCTGAGCTCCTGAAGTGACACAGGAAGAAACTGTGTCTTGGATATCGGCTGCAGATGTTCCATCTTGTTAGAAGACGCGGGTTCAGGGTAACCTCGTATGTTGAAAATCGTGAGGTTTATGAGAACGAGACCCTAGAGGTGATTCACATGGATCTTATATAAGTGAGGGAATACGAACTCCCAGCCCCCATAACACCTGAGGCATCACTCATCACATTGGCAGATGGGCATACTGCAATGAGACGTCAGAAACTGCCAATATCGGCTGCACAAAGTACCATGGAGATAAATCTCTCACAAAACGTCTTAAGGAGACGGTCGGTCTGGACTGCATATGAGCCCGGCTTGGCGCTGTTGATTCCAGCCGCAGCCCTTGTTGTGTAGCAATAGCTAACCTACATACGCTATCACATTCCAATATTGTGGTGAAAGCAAAATAGTACACTGATATTGGTGGACCCGATATTGCACTCAGCCAGCCACGTGGCTACACACTCACCTCTCTGTGCCTAGGCCAGTTTCAGCCGTTTCTGCGCTCGTCCATTTCTGACAATCGCCAGCTCGCGAACGTCAAAGGAGCTTCGGCCGGGTAATAATAGCGGGAAATGAGGAAAAAAATTCATTCTATCAGACTTGAGATATGTGACCTCTCCTCCAGTTTTGTCCAGGGATAGAAGTAGCGGCTACATTGGAAAGTACTTACGACTACAAGGTCAAACTCGTGAGGACTGGCGCCTTGTGTCACCTACTTCCATCTACGTCGCCAATAACTGGTGTATCGTGAGGCTCCCTCCATATGCCATCTCAGTGACAGGGATGTGAGACGGTGTGCTCACCGGCAGCCAAAGTTTGGCGCGTCGCCATACGAGATAGCTTGTTCTGATGCTAGCAAAAGAATCACGCATGGTTAGTGTACTTCCAGCAGCCCGAAACCTTATGCTGCCTCATAGGCCACCCATTTGAATCCCATCTATCAAAAGCTGCGAGACATGGCTTTTTTGGCTTAGCTGATTGTGGGGCAATATTGCCGCGCGGGGAATATCCTCCTCGATTTGGGTTAAAAGCTTCAAGATCAGAGCTGTTCCAGCGGGGGCGGCCCGCCGCCCAGCGCGTGTAGCCCGCACCTTTCGTACATCAGCCTATAGAAAGAACAGCCAGACGCAATATTCCATTCTACATTGATGCATAAAGCAACGCATATCACAAATTAGCGGCAAATGTACGGAAGTAATTGTGATGAACTGATCTGATTGTATAGCTTCGACATTTTCAAACTTTCCTGACGGAATTCCTAATAATCATGCTCTTGAGGCAGAGCCTCCTCTTCACTTACAGCGCCACAGATATACAACCCTGGCATTTGACCAACCGCAGTATATGATTGGGTACATCATCTTGCTCCTCAATACTTCTTCGTCACTGGTATACCCCATCGCGCTTCGTCGCGAGGTGCCGAGTCATGTGGCGACTCTTGCCCAACTTTGGCGCACTGCTGCTTTTGGTCAATAACAAACTGAAAATGCAACCCTGCGTACAGCTACACTTGTCACATTCTTCGTGTTTAGGTAATTAGGTTCCAGCTTGTCCCGTGTCACCTCTAGTATCTGCAAACACAAGAACATGTGATGACTGCTAGCACGTCTCAACATACGATAAAGGTTTACTGGAAACAAGCAAAGTGATCTCTGCCTCGCTTTTTCGACTAAGTCAAGGAAAAGAATTGGCCTAGATCCCTGCAGCTTGCGAGGAGCTGAACTCAGACCGTACGATGTAAGCTCTTCGCAGGTAGAACTGAGACTAATGACATCTCATGCGACTGGAGTCTCCTCTGTGCCCAGATGGCTCCATTGTCTCACTTTCCCCTCCAGAAGTAGCGGGTTTGACAGCTATCGATATTATGCGCCCGCGACCAAGATTGATTTGGTCCTAGCATAGCACGGAAGTATCAAGGACGCTTCTATCAGGTCTCGCCGGATGAGGGATAGCCTAAGGGGCATTAAGAGGAGGACCAAGCAACAAAGGAGCAGCTCAGGTATATATAGAACGCTGAGAGTACACTTCGAGGGAAGGGCAGATTTCAGTAATTCATCTTCTAGATCCTAACAGCAGTTGGCCTCTGTGAGCTTCTTCCCTATGTCGTACACTTATTAACAGCTCCAACCAGGTATACAATGATGCTCTACTCCCGCACTTCCACCAAGGCTCTTTAACAACCAAACAACCGAAAAGAGCATATCAATCATCCATCTATTCTTCCACAACCTACACATTAGACACAATGGGCACCGAACAGATCAATATTGAGTTCACTGATGAGCAAGTCGAAAATAACAAATCGAAGGGCTTTCAACTCTCCTTTGGTGTTTAGACTTTTGTACGATTACGAGGTGCCAGAGAAAGTGTCTTGGATGGCCACCGACTCATGGACTGGGTCCAGTCGATTGAAAGACAGATCTCAGAGCGCTGGAGTAGGAAAGTCTAGCAAACGAATAGCATTCACTACCGATGCCGCGAGAAGAGTTCAAGCTTCCACAGCGTGAAATGGAGTGACAGCAGGTCATTGGGTACTAGCGAGGAATCAGACAAATCTCTAGTCTCGCAGCAGGTACCTGACCTCTGAAAAATTAATGCTCGGTTTTCAATCTCTTAAGAAACTCGAATAAATTCCAAAGATGAGGTTCTTAGTGCTTTCAGGCTTGCATTGCCTTAGGTAGTTCGTTCTCTGCAGCTGACATATATTTCTCACGCTTCTCAAAGGAGTGAACTAATATGGAAAGAAACCAAAACTTTTGTGTTCATGTTTTTGTCCATATCTTGGTTGTTACATCCAATTCTCGCTTTGGTAAAATAAAGTACAATACATGGCCCGCATGAGGGGCGACTCCGAAAGAAACGAAACACATCGAAAACATAAGTCTAGATGGGACAAGTCCTCCTGTAATACGTCGTTACCACGAGGGCAGTGCAGGTTCCCGTAACGGTTCCACCAGAAGCAACATGCCAAAAGTGGGCATTGCAGGAAGATATCGGTAAGTGCTCCTGTACTTAATGTGTCATAAATAATGGGACCCAGCCAAAGTTTATGACATCAAAGTCACGCTACGAGTAGATTCGATATACAGGACGGCTTGGTGAAGTCTTGTCCGGATGCCTCCATCTGATCAAGAGCTATGGACAACTTCCGCCCTCTTCCCTTAGGAGCTACACATTGACATGAGAAGCCACTTGGATATCACATGCTCAATTGGCCTATTTCATATCAGTCTAGTAAATCGTACTCGATACTCGTCACCTTCCAACCATTTTCGTGGCCAGACAACTAAGTAGAGTACGGTGGCGAAAACCACTGATGAAGCTTTACTATGGCTCATTGTCCGAAATTCGCTCACTCTTTCATCGGTTTGTACTCTTATTCTTCATGTGAGACACGGCTGTGGCACTTAGGATGTCACACATCCTTCGGGGAGAAAGTGAAAAACTGGAGAGGAAGGTGTTGATGAGACAAAAGATCTGATCAGTTTTTCCGCCCCTTGTCCGGGTTTGTATTCCCCCTCATATCCGTCAAAATTCCCGTGACCGGCCGCTAGGGCCAACCAGTACTGTTGTATGCAGACTTGATACCAGTATGGATAGACCAACATGATGGGGGCCAGCGCACTGTCCTCGAGTAAAAATAGCGGGTTGATCCGACGAAAAGTGAGAGATGAAACAGACGTCAAGACCAAAATGTGGGCCCTTGAGAAGGGAAAGAAGAAAACTGTCTTGACGTGCTTGGATACAAACTGTACAGCACAAGGAGAGAGCGCGGCGATGAATCGACTCTTTTTTATTGCCATCAACAATGTGATGATGTGATGTGATCGCTGCACCTTGTAAGAACACGGGTGAGACTTCTGACATGGAAGGAAAAAAGGAAGAAAAACGGCATTGCCGGCCAAGCTAAAGAGGTCGAATAAGCTTGTCTGCCAAGGTGGATATGCCGTTATGTCTACGTTCTCCTAAGAGTATAGGCTATAGGAGTAGTGCTTGGATGCCAAGGGCTAGCGGGGGTGACGCGAAGTATCATATCAGATACCCATGGCGAAATATGCAGACCCGTGATAGCGCACTCAATTAAGGTGCGACCAAGAACCGATGGCTTGGTTCCTAATGCAGACATTCCAAGAAGACAAGTTAGGGGGTTGAAGCTGCCAAGAATGCCAGTAATGGATTTACTTTCGATCGTCTGTTATATCGGATCGTCCACGTACTTTACGCTCTACATAAATTCCACTCCATGAATGTTGAGAAGCAGAAGACTGAGCCGTACCATACGCCTTCCAGATTTTGCCGCCCTTTCAGTGATGCACACATCTGCGGTCTGCCACGGCTAATGCACCCCTGTCCGTCAGGAGCAAGAAAAGGAAAGTGGGAGCGAGCTGGGGTCCGGCTAATGTTCCCCCTTTCTCATCTTTCCAGACGACCGTTGCAAGGTAAAAATACAACCTATTGATCCTACGAGGAGTTTCCATGACAGCACAAATTCACGTGGGAGGTCATCTCTCCAATAGAAGGTCACCGTGTGGCAGAAACGTGTGGCTGGGTTGGAAAGCGGGCCATGTTATGCCATGCTCGGACTGCCAAGAAGTGACGGTCGACGTCCTGAAGTTCTGGAACGCGCGTCATCGTGATAGGTCCCGGGCTCCTGGCCGTCCATCATCACTCCCAGGGCTTCAGCCGACCCGACACGAGAGAGAGAGCCTGAAGGGAGGGCTCTCAAGGAGGATGGTGGAAAAACTGGTACCTCCTTGGCAATCTCCCGAGGAAGGGCAAGGGCGGCGTCAAGTGCGACAAGGGAGTCGTCGGGCTTGATCCCATGCTGTCACTCGTCTGGGACTAGAACTCCGTGAGAGCGGAGGAGATGAATGGGGAAAGGAGCCGTGTGGGGGGCGGAAGTTTTCTGCCCATCAGAGTCCAAGTTTGCCTCTGCGGAAGGCTCAAAAAGAGGTGTTTGACAGTCGGACCCATCGAATAACAGCTCTGATCAAGGTTTGGAGAGAATGGGACAGCAGCTGTAGCGTCTG